ACGGCCATCCTCAAGGTCGACCTGTGGCTTTAAGTCTACCCAGTGTAGACACCCTGAAAAGAAGAAGAAGAGCTGTGGTGTGGCGACACTGGCGTGTGCGACGGACCGTCGGACGGAACGAAATAAGCTCCAGTTTGGCCTTCAAGTCTTCAAGAGTAAAATACTTTTTCATTTCCTCAATTTTTTCATTCCAGAGCTGACTCTGACTGCTAAAACAACAATTTTCCTCATGAAATGATTTTCAAGTGAGGTAAGTGATGGAAGAAACACCCCCACGTCAGTGACGACAGCCTGACAGGTGCGTGGTCTCCATGCTCATTACTTAGACGTTTAATCAGAAAACGCATCAGCCCCCCATCACCAGCAAGACAATGAACTTTAAGTTGAATGAACCAAGCTAACGCAATCTGCCCCAACCTCTGTCAGTAACCTGACTTACCCAAAACTTCCAGCTTCCACTTCTGAGAATAATAACAATGTAGTTGGATGGACCTATTTGTGGATTGGTAGAAAGACCACTTTCTCCACCTCCCATGGCTACACAACACCAGCAGCACAGCACCAGTTTGGAGTTAGTAGGCCGGCAAGAATGCAAGATGGTATCTCACAAACAAGTCACACTTAGGTGTGTGTTGATGATGTCAAGTTTGATTTTACAGCAAATCGATTTGATACACATTCATCAGTCATCCATGAGAAAGCTGAGATTTAAATGATGGAAAGTGGTTTCAAAATTTAAACACCTATTAACATTTGACACACCTCCAGATAGGAATTTTTGCATGTTTTTGCCCTTAGGCCCTATTTTATATTGTTGATATTTTCTAAAAAACTTTGCTTCAGATTCTGAATAATTTTGTCTTCCAGTGCGAGTTTTCAAACGTCTTCTGCCTTTTACTTTGGGAAAATACTTGTCATTTTGAAGCAGCAATTATTGCATTAAATTAATTCTTGAGCACTTAGGCATGTACCATGAGGTAGCCTATATTAAATAATTTGATTTAACTTAGTAAAATTTAAATTTTAATTTGAAATTTTGTTTAATATTTTTTTAAAATAAATTTAATTCTACAGAGCTGCAGCTAGTAAAAAATGCCAAAAATGGGCATCATAGAAAAAAGGTTGAATTGTTATCAATACATCCCATATTTAATGACACTGAATGGGTTTGGTAAGTATTTTATTATTCATGTTTATATGAATGAATTGAAATGTTGCTTCTATTTCAGAATTGGTTCTTGAATACTCTTGTGAAAACATCTGTAGTGTTTTTTCCTTTGTTGTCCTCCATCTCCAAGTTGTTGCTAGACAGGTCACCCTGCCCTTGGACCCCAGATGTAATGTTGGATGTGTTCTGTCTATTTGTTCTCCTTTGGGAAAGCTGATGCAAGATGCTGTTGCTTGTCACTTGTTGAGGGTAGGTTCCCATAACTGGACAATATGGGATCTTCTTCAGAAACTTATCCAGTTGTCTCTTGATAGTCTTGAAAGTCACAAGGCTAAACTCCCCTCCTCTCAGCACCTTTGGTAAGGCATTGAACAGCCTTGGTCCCACCATGGACAGTGGTCCTTTACAAAGAGTCTGTACTCTGGCCATGGCTTGGTTATTGAATGGAGGAATCCTGCACATTCTCCCCCACCTTTCATTGTAATACGTCACAATTTTGGAGGTTTCACATTCAAAGTTGGGAACCAGTCTTGTTATCATCTTCCAAGTGTACTCTATGATATACCTTTCTCTTCTCTCCAGTGAGTACAGTTATAGGTGTTTCAGCCTTTCCCAGTAGTTCAGGTCCAGCTCTCTCATGCTGCTGATCCTGTACATAAATGTCCGCTTCACTGCCTCCAGTTTTCGCACCGCACCTGCTTTGAGCGGCGCCCAAAGCCCACAGCTGTATTCAGGGTTGGGGAGCACTAAGGCTCTAAAGAGTATAATAATTGGTGCTGCTTCTCTTGTTCAAAATTTCCACTGGACCTACCCCATCATTTGTCTCCCTCGCAAAACTATTTCCTCAGTGTGGTCATCAAACCTTGCTTCAGTACACATTAACACTACTAGATCTAGTTGCTTTTCTTCAATTTCTGTGCCATCTGATGCCAAGTAGTGATGTGGCATCATGATCTCTGTGCCAACTCTGTATCTCATTACTTCGAACTTGGTGTTGTTGAATTGCATGCTATTCACTAGGGCCCAATTGTAGACTGTCAAGTCATCCTGTAATTTCTCACAGACTATGTCCTCTGTGATCTTTGTTAGCACTCTTTTATGTCTCAAATGATGATGTAGATGCATGGGTAAGTTCTGAGTCAACATGGCATTGTAGATGAGGAAGAGGATTGGTCCAAGCACCAAGCCCTGTGGCACTCCGCTTTTCACTCTTGCTTCTTTTGATGTTGAGTTACCAATTGCAATAGCTTGAACTTTATTTGTAAGGAAGTTGTGGATCCACCCTAACAGGTTTCCTCCTACCCCCAACCGTCTCAGCTTTTTGAAGTGCAGCCCATGGTCAACTTTGACAAGGGCTTTAGCAAAGTCCAGGCATACCGTCAAATGGGGTAAATTGGGATGGGCAGAGTAAACCAGGACAGTCATCCCACTAGACTCCTGCGTTTGTTTTTTTTATCCAAGACAAGACGAGACAACAGGATCTGTCCTGGTTTGCAATAAAAACCAGGACAATTTTCAGCCCTCCGTAGGAATTCCGGGACGATACCAAGACGAGACATCCCGGTTAAAATAGGTACCTTAAAATTTCCCGGAATTTATAGCCATTTTAACGAGACATAACAAGACAAATCAATTATTGATGTGGTGTAAACTTTGGCTTACCATCATACATTTATACAGAGCTGGGCAGCGCTACTTTGAAATGTAGCAGCCGCTACCGCTACATGCCCTAAATGTAGCGGGCGCTACCGCTACAATTGCTTGAATGTAGCGCCGCTACCGCTACCAAAAATGTAGCGGCCACTACATGTAGCGCGCTACTGCCCACCTTTGGTAACAACTAACATGTTGACACAAGTAACAGGCTGAGGTTGACAACATTACACCAAAATCTTTCGTACAGTTTTATTCTGTAATTTATATTATGTATGTATCATGCTGGTTTTTAAATAATATTTAATACTATTAAGTAAAATCTAAAGGCTTTATCTATGAATGTAGCGGTACCGGTAGCGCTGTAGTTGCAAAACCTCATGTCGCTACTTAAATATGTAGCGCTACCACTACTGAAAATGTAGCGGCCTCTACATGTAGCACGCTACTGCCCACCTCTGCATTTATATAATAACTTGAGACATATCCTTTTACTATTCTGATTGGAGCTCGGCAATTGAAATGATTTTTGCTACGAATACATGTTGTGGTTTAATATGGTACTTAATCTTGACAGGCAANAACAAGTGTGCCAATTTTCAGATCAACTGGACAGGTAAAAGTGTGTCAAATTTCAGTTATAAGATTTGTAGCTGACAAAATTATTTTTTTAATATTTTTAATATTGAAAACAATTTTTTTTTTAATTTCTCAAATCAGATGTGTATAAGAGACAGATGTTTATGAGTAAATCCCAATAGCAGAACAATAAATATTTAGAGATTTCCAACAATTTTGGCCATTGTAGCGGCTAATGTAGCGGTGCTACATTTTACTGTAGTCGTAGCAGTAGAGCTTGCTACAATCTAGTGGGTGTAGCGGTAGCGCCCGCTACATTTAGAGCATGTAGCGGTAGCGGCGCTACATTTCAAAGTAGCGCTGCCCAGCTCTGCCAATCTCCCATCTTCACCAGGAGATTGGTGTCCTCCCATTGTCTGCACATTTGGACCTGCTTGTGCCCAGTTCCTCGCAAGTGCCCTCCAGCCCTCCCATACCTCATTCCGCATCGTTTCTGCTCCCCTCGGGGAGCGCCCCATGAAAGCCTCTATCCAGTCAAAGTTTGGCCACCTGGTCACACCATTGTTGGGTAATGGTATAATGCACACCAGTGCCTACAAAGAGGCCAAGCGGTCCTTCTGCAGGAAGATTGCCTCATGCGTTGCGGCGACTGACGCCATAAACGCTGTCCTTGCAGCCCTGCCTCTGCCGATTGCATCAGTGATGGCCTCACTCCCTCGCCCCTACCCCTCAGCACCATCCCAGCTCCACTTGGGTTACTGCAGCTCCCTGGCGTCCTACTCCGATAAGATCAGACGCTCAGCTAGCCCCGCCTGCCCGTAGTGCAGGGATCCCCACTAGTCCGTCCAGCACCTCTTTGCCTGCCCCGCCTTCCCCACGTCTCTCAGCGTCTCCTCACTGTGGGACAGCCCCGTGGAAGCAGGGGCATTCCTGGCCACCCTCCCTGCCTTCGCCCATCTCCCCCCTCTTCAGGTGCCTGCCCCCTGCCCACCACCAGAGCCTCCCCACTCGCGAGTGTGACGGTCACAATGAACAACAACAAAGGAAGAGAAGGCTTCAGAGTACTGTTAGTAATGGATGAGTGCACTTTGCATGCTTCAAATGTTATAAAATTAGGTTTTATTTCAAGTGTCCCTTATTGCCTCATTCCCAGGGGTAATTTGGGAGGCTTTTATTTTGCACTTGGCACCTTACAAATAGAATAAATGAATTTTTCAGAGATGTCATATAATGGCCCTCTCAAAAACCTTAAAAATGAGCCCAATTTTGTTTATAAAATGTTTTATGGTAAGAAGTTACGTATTAATAAAAAACGCTCGAAACTGTCCCATATTGTCCTGTTTGATGGTATTACTAAATAACTGATAATTGGGCCCATTATATCAAGATAGTCACTCAGTTTTTGGATTACATTACTTTTTGTTATGTAACACAAGATTGTTGAAAATTATAATATAGGTATTGTATATTTATAGTACCAGTTGAATGAATGATTGAAATCTTAAAATGTAATTTTCAAGTAAAGTTTTGCATTGAATTTAATAATGTTGAAGATTGTTTATCTTCTAGAAGTTTAGCTTCTCAATTCTCTTGCTTTTCAGAACATTTAAATTTGATTTAATTTAACTTGTATCATGGTAAGCTTTTTTTTAACTACCTAATCCCCAACATTCTATGAAAAAGTAATAATCTTCTGCTGTGTTGTGTAGGATCCATTTGTGGTAAAACGCGCTTTATTTAAGCCATTGAAGTTGTGCATCCCAGCATGGACAATCTTCCATACAAATCTGATGTTGAGAAATGGAATGTTGAACATGTTGCTGCATATATCCAGGTAAATATATACTTTTTGACCAGGTAGTTAATAGTGTAATTTGTTTTGATGAATAAAAAATTTTATTGTATAAGATTTAGGATAATTATATATATATATATAAATTTTTATTCCTTTTTTTGTTTGATTTTTTAATATGATGGATAATTGTTATTTTATTTGATGTTCTTTAATCCTATTAAACCTCAGAGTCAAGTTGGAGATTATAGTCAAGCATTCCTTAAGAGGGGGATTGATGGACGTTCATTTTTGGTGAGTCAAATATTATAATCATTTGGTTTTATTTTCTTTTATTGCATTGCTTCATCATTTTTCATCTTTTATAAGATCTATGGACTTTGAAAAATTGGCCGTACCAAGCTAAAAAGTATTTATCGATTCATTTTTCCTAATAATGCAAGACCATTGCTTGTACCTAAAAACCTTTTCTGTGTCTCATCATTCAGCCTTAGTCTGTTCACCAGTCAGACTGTAAAACTTGCAAAAATGCTAGACCAGGCTGCAGTTTTAATGTATATATATTTGGCCAAATTTCTGCTGCTCATGTAATTTCGTTTGTTGACACAACTGATTGGATTTATTGTGCTGATGTTCCATGGCTGATGTCTTATATATGTAGGTAATTTCATGCTTATTTACATTTGTGTGAAGTTTAATTAAATTTTTTAGATGCATTATTCATGGAGCTTTACTGCAAGACTAACTTAGTCTTCTGTCCATAATTCCTGTACACATAATTATTAGTACTCTAACAAGATGTGCACTAGATCAATAGCAGCCTCCATTTTAGTGTATTTGATCCTTGATAATTTTACTTTTATTTTCAATCAATGATTGTTTCAATGCAATTTGTTGATGACTTGGACAAAAAATGGTCAATATATCACATCATGCAAACTTTATACGTGTGAAATGTATTAAAACTTGAAAAAAATAGATGAGCTTTATTGTCACAAAACATTAATATGATCTTGTGTTTGAGAAATAGATGTTGGGTTGAAATTATTCTATTATTGGTAAAATTTTATTCTATTGTGTTAACAATACAGGCACTGAATGAGAGTTCCTTCCTAACCTGGGCTTCAGATTTACCCATCAGGAGCAGACAGTGAGTGTTCTTAATTAGTTATTGAGCATATATTTATGCATGTATTAAAAAATTGGCATTCTTTTGCAAATATTTGTTTGATCAGCTGAACTAATTTTATTTTTAATATATTTTGTTATTTATTCTTAAAATTATTTGCATTCATGCAGCAGTTTTAGTGCTACACTAGGCAACCATTGAGACAGACAGGGAAAAAGCATCAATTTACTCTGGGCAAAATTGCATTGATCAACATAAACAAGGTAAAGAAAAGTATGGGACAGCATAATGGTTTATGCCATACATTGATGTGAAACTTGTTGTTTTACAAATTTAGATAAGAGGAGGGAAATGCCTGTGAACTGTGGCTTTGTAACTCATTATGCTACTATACATAATGAGTATAAACATGAAAAGGGTATTTTCATATAGATGAATAAACAATGTATTGATATTGTAAACAGTAATTAGGTATTTTGCATGTAATAATAATTAAATATAATAGCTACGGTATGCAATAATAATATAATAATAGTTGTGTAATAATTGTTTTGGTTCTTCAATTATGAAAGGCAATACAATAGACTTTGTCTATTAGAATCTAATCAGGACCAAAATTTTTATGTCTAATAAGCATATCTTTCTTGCAAATAAAAGTTATATATTCATTCACATAGAATTTGTAACTTACACTAAATTCTGGCAATTTTCATCTAAAATAATTATTTCTGTTATTCTAAGGGAAAAGTTTTACAAAGTTTTTTTTCCCACTACTGTCCCTCCTACCTCCCACTACTGTACCCCTACCTCCCACTACTCTGCCCCTACCTCCCACTACTGTACCTCCTACCTCCCACTACTCTGCCCCTACCTCCCACTACTCTGCCCCCTACCTCCCACTACTCTACCCCCTACCTCCCACTACTCTGCCCCCTACCTCCCACTACTCTGCTCCCTACCTCCCACTACTCTGCCCCCTACCTCCCACTACTCTGCCCCCTACCTCCCACTACTGTCCCTCCTACCTCCCACTACTCGATAATTTTTTCACCCACCAACATCTGTAAATCTGAATCACTAACTTGACAGTCATTTTCACCGTATTTCTTGTTAATGATGTTTCAGGGTGAGAATTGATTGATCTTTTTGAAATGTTTTTTTTCACACAGGAAGATTAATAAGTTGATTAGAGACATCAACTCACAACCCAGCTCAGCTCCCCTGCATAGGTACAGATTAATGCATATTGAAAAAATATATTTAGTTGTTATCTTTGAATAGTTTTTTACAATTTCTATTTGAGTTCCATATGAAAACTATAATCTAACTTGTTCATTATTTTGTGAATGATTTTTCCTTATGTCAATATTATATGAAGTAGGTATGGCATATTAAATAATTACTGTTAAAATTTTTGAAAGTGTTAAAAATAATGAGCTAGAGATAGTTTGTAATTTAAAGTTAATATTTTAATGAGATAAAATAACTTTTACAATGCAGTCTATTAATTGCAATTCTAAAAGTGGCCTATTGTTTTTATTATATTTTGCATTCCATAGCAAATCATTGTTATTGTGAAACATTCTTATGGTTTTAATAAAAAAAGATGTTTAAAAATAAAAATTCATAATTTTCACACAATTCAACTACAAAACATTATTCTCAATCATCTTCAATTTTGTGTTTAAAACTTGTTACTGGAAGAGGAGGCAGCAGTGCAGCAGCTGCCAGCCCAGCTGTCACTGACATCGGCTGCCTGCGACCGCCTGCCCTGGCCGGCAGCGGCAGCAGGCTAGGGCGGCATGATGCGGGCGTGGAGTCTGACAGTTTCTCGGAAAGTGATGATGATGATGATATTTTGGTAAGTCATGAGCTAGTTCCTTGTTGCTAATAGAAGATGACATTTTGGTAAGTCATGAGCTAGTTCCTTGTTGCTAATAGAAGATGACATTTCAGTAAGTCATGAGCTAGTTCCTTGTTGCTAATACATCATATTGTGTTGGTAACTTATGGTGCTGAAGACAAGTGGTGGTGTTTGGTTGTTTTTAATAAAATTTAGCATAGGTAGTGCTAGTAGCTAGCAGCAAGTAGCTGTGGTAGAGTTTGTCTGATTAAAACTTGTATTTGTGGTGGTTTTGTTTATACAGCAATGTAGCAATGTTTGATGTTTTATGATAACATGGAGTAGAGCTGGTGGTGGTTCCTAGTTTTATTTTTTTTTATGCATTTTTTGTGATGTTGATGGCAATGTTGTAACTATATCAGTAGTTGTCTTGTACTAAGCTATAAAGATTGATGCTACCTAATTAGTTGCAATTCTCCGGGCATTAAATTGAAACAGTGTGGAACAAATAGAAATGTTTATAGCAAGAGTAGCTGCATTGAATAATATTAGGAAAAGCCGTTCTAAGAAGCAGGTAATCCCCATGATGGCGCCATCAAATAATGGAACAAAAGTAATTGTTTTCATATGACTAATCTTACTGTAAGTAGCTGGAGCTTTCTTTATCATAGGTACTAGCATGGAACAAGTCATTGATGAATTGCAGAGTGTAACATTATTGGTAGCTCTGAAATTGTGTCATTTGCCTGAATAGCACAAAGTTTTACACATTACAAACAATAACACAAATAATTCGTTGAAGCCAACCCAAGGGTATTTTGATTAGAATTTGGAGAACCATCAGCATGATAAATGATATTGCAAGATGATGCAGAACTTCATTGATTTCATTAACATCAATCTCTATGATTATTATTTCTGAATACATAAGACATTCATTGTAATTTCAGTGAAAATCCTTTTTCAGATGCAAGAACCCCATGGCTCAGGCCCCCCAACTGTATCATCTCAACCCCCACCCCGCCCTGTACCCCTGCTCCCCCCCTCTGCCCTCTCCGCCCTCTCCGTCCCCTACCCCAGAGGTTAATAAGTACACGCAGAACCCTATTTTAAAATACCTTTTTCAGGATTTATTATTTCAGTACTGGACATGATTCAAAATCTGTTAAAAAAAGCTTTCTGATGCTGTGGCTCAGGAAAAAAACAGTTGTGGTTTTGGAAAAAAAACAAAGATTTTAAATATTCAAAGCAGGCTTAAAGTTCTCTGAAACTTTTTATTTTCTTATGAAAACTGTAATGAATATTCACTGATCATTTCCCAAGATGTACTTTGATGTTTATTATTTCTTTGTATTTTTAGAGGATTTTCTGAGCAGAAAATATCAGTTATATTTATTGATTAACTTCTAATTGAGACTATGGGATGATTGGTGTTCCAGATTTTTCCTCTCCTGACAATATAGATAACTTGGTTGATATTAAATTTCCTCATTAATGCATATTATGTCATGCACTTGAAGATAAATGTATTATTGTATTATTATGTCTATGTCTGATTAACTATTTTTTATACCAGAAGTAGATGCTACTTCATCTACTATGATTTTCATAGAATCTTTGACAATCTTTAGCAGTACATGTAAGTGATGAGATTATTCAATCAATGTACATGCTTTGTTATGTTGCTTCAATAAAATTTTGTTTGGTACCTAGCCAAGAGCTTGTAGCTTGTTTATCTGCATGGATCAGTGATGGGGCTACGTGTGTGTGTGTGGGTGTCAAGTTTCATTGTTAGTGTAATGTCTGGTGGGAACATGAGAATTTAAATTTAATTTTTCCATGTGTACTGAAATTTTCTTTATTTTTATCTTCAAGAACTGTGGGAATGTTGATTTGTGTTTGGGTGGGAAACATGGGAAAATTAAGTTATCACAAATTAGTGGTTATGTGTATTTATTTTATTTATCGAGATATGCTCACAGGTGATGTGGACGACAACGGTTACCTGATTGCCATCAAGGGGCGGCAGGCCTCCCCTTCCCCTGTGGATCAGGCATGTATTTATAGCCACACATTCCCCATTGATGGGGCAATTTTTTTACTACTTGGATCGTGATCATCATACAGTCTCATTCCCCATTGATGGGGCAATTTTTTGACTACTTGGATCGTGATCATTATACAGTCTCATTCCCCATTGATGGGGCAATTTTTTGACTACTTGGATCGTGATCATTATACAGTCTCATTCCCCGTTGATGGGGCAATTTTTTGACTACTTGGATCGTGATCATTAATGGAAGTTGGATATACCAGTTGTAGGGGAGTTGAAAGGATGTATTGAGATTGCAAAGGGGTTGAAATAAATTATTGCTGTCTTTAATGACTAAGTGGTTTAAGAGATTTATTGCAATTTTTTTTAATTGCAGGGACGTTGAAGAGATGTGTTGCAATCTTTAATTGCAGCGGGATCGGGAATGTTTATAATATAGATGAGACCTTACATGCTTAGTGAAGCCAGTGAGATTGCATTGCACTAACAGTGCCTCTGCCTTAGTTACTGTTGTCTCCTTCACAATATAAGTGCGAGTTAAGTTATTACCAGTATTTAATAAGTGTAATAAGCCAAAGCTGGGTATTGGTGTGTAAATTGATCTCTGGCTTGGGTCGCTTGGCTGCTGAAGATGTATGACATCGGTTTAAATCTTATTTGTTTTGTAAGTTGTATTTCTCTTTTATTAAGAAAGTTGAAATTCCTAAAAGTGTGATGATGAAGATGATGATAGTCATTATTATAAGTGAAATGGGTAAACATGCCACTATACGTGTGACTATACATGCCACTATACATTTAACTATACATGCCACTATACATTTAACTATACATGCCACTATAAATTCGACTATACATGCCACTATAAATTTGACTATACATGCCACTATACATTTGACTATACATGCCACTACACATTTGACNTTTTAGCCTTGGACTGAGCATATTTAAAAAAATACTTGGGGTTCTCTTTGATGACCTCAACCACTCGCTCTTCCGCGGCTTGTTCTTCCATCCTGTGCGAGACCTGCAGCCTGAGTTCAATATTCTTGTGCAAATTTACTAGCCTCTGTCTTCTCGTATCACTAGTGGATTCAGCTATTTGTTTATTTAATCGCTTGCGTTTTCTCATAAGGATTCGTCTGTCCTGTCTCTTATACACATCTAGATGTGTATAAGAGACAGGTGTATGACGCACACATACCTGTGCTAGTTTCTCACACAGTTTTGTGTAGATTTCCTCAGCATTCATCTCGTGAAACTCTGCTCTCCAATCGATTTCGTCAATTTCATTCCAAATTGCCCCCAATTGCTCCACCCACAAGTACCTTTGAGCACTACATATTAGCATTCCACCATGATGTAAGCGTCAAGTTATTGCCAGTATTTAATAAGTGTAATAAGACAAAACTGAGTCTAGGTGTGTAAAGTGATCTTTAGCTTGGCTACTGAACATGTATGACATCGCTTTATATCTTATTTGTTATGCAAATTTTATTTCTCTTTTATTAAGAAACTTGAAATTTCTATAAGTGTGATGATGAAGATGATGATAGTCATTATTATAAGTGTAGCGGGTATACATTTGACTATACGTTTCCCAATACACGCCACTACACATTGGACTATACATGCCACTATACATTTGACCATACATGCCACTACACATTTGACCATACATGCCCCACTACACATTTAACCATACATGCCCCACTATACATTGGCTATACATGCCACTACATGGTATTCATTTTAATCATCTGTGTGGTGCAGGCTGACCCGATGTACGAGCCTGTCGAGGACGCCAGACTGCAGGTCAGTGGCTCGCTGCACTTGATTGCTTGCTTGCCGAGTGATTGGCTAACATGTTATTGGCATTGTGGTAGGAATAGCAGTACAATGTGCAGGTTTTCTTAATAACACATGTTTCAGTAACTCAGTGTTATTGCTGCAATGTTTAGGTGTAGAGGGATGATGAGTGATAGCGTTAAAAATAGCTGCTATCATGAACCTTATTTATTTATTTATATAGTTATAGTGGGTTCCTCTTTTTAGAAGCGTTTTTATTTATTGACGGTTTCAAAAAAGTGTTTCCTAGTCTGCGTCCCTATCATCCTCATCGTAACAAAATTTAAAGGCGGCACAAATTCGAAAAAAATAATTTATTGATTTGTTTCAATATTGAAAGGTTAGACCAAGTGAGTTCATTTAAGCATAACGATGATACTTTTTGTTAGGACTGTTCTTACTAATATGGGTGACAATAGTGCAGGTTGTTGGGGCTTATGGTGTTGAGTGGTAGGCTGGTGCTGCTCTAACCCTGCTTACTAACACGGCGCTGAAACGGCGCTAAAACTGCGCTTACACGGCGTTAAAACTGCACTAACAGGGCGCTAAAACTGCCTTAACCCGGGGTTAAAAATGCGCTAACCCGGCTCTAAAACTGCGCTAACCCTGCGCTGCACTGCGGCCGCCGCTTGCAGCGAAGTACCTGATCTACAACCCTACACGAATGCTGCGTCTGCATCAATACAAGTAAATAATTTCGTTTCTAACCTTTTTTTTTGTGCCGAAAATTTGGTTTTATGCTATTTTTCTTGACATAATTGAGCTTATGTACAAATTTACTGCATAACGCGCTTGTTTGTTTCACATTTTTTATTTCCTTTTCATTTAGTAAGTTTTTACTCTTGGAAAGGTTTAAACTGGAATATATTAATAGTTAGCTTCTTATTTTATTGGTCATGGCATATATAGATCTTATTCACATCTGTCAATAAAGAAGGGCGGCCATTAGATTAATGTGAACTCCCTGTGCGCATAGCATTCATTTAAACCTTCAAATGTTATTGCTGTCATATCATTAGGCGCCTTATATGTGATAGCAATTTGAGAGGTTCCAGTTTACTTATATCACATTTACCCACATGAACCCATACAACACCTACCTGTATTAAATGTAACCATGTAAAATATAATCTTTTTGAACAGGGGCAGCGGGATGGCGCTCCGCCTTTGTCTGGTGAGTTACTATGTACATCGATGATGAGTGATGTTGATAATAATGATGGTGATGGTTGGCATATAAGGATATAATGATTATACTCTAACAGTTTGTTGGTACTGACGATTGATTTAATTTAATTTTTTTTATTCAGGTGACAACGGGCCTCCCCTTCCCCCTCGTAACACCAACCAAGGTGAGTAATGAGCATCCAACATCCATTGCCTCTATTAATGAGTTACTATTAATGTTGGCTGCAAGTTAAATTGATTGCTATTGAAGTGAACTATTTCCAGAACTAGTGCATATCATGGTTGACCGACATTACATTAATGTTCAATTGCTTTTACTCGATAAAAATTGTCGATTATTGCCGCAACATTTGATACAAAATATCATATATGTTCGCCATTAGCGTTCAAACTGGGTCAAGATGACCCATACAATGGCAAAAGGACATCGCTATTTGGATTAATCTCACTCATTTGTCTGAGTGTAGTTATGGCTGTCAGGAACCACCTAATAAGTTAGCGCTTGTCATGGCTGCTACGATCCACCGAGCCACTTTAGTTATGTAACAATGTCACTCGTTTGCTTGACTCGCAAATTCACTAAAAACTTAGAAGCAAAGAAAACTCCGCAAAAATTCATAGTATCTTCAAACAAAACGTTTCGGCAAAGAAACGTTTTCCAGCTCCAATCAAAGATGGAGCTGGACTCCGAAACGTTTTCTTTAAAGATACTATGAATTTTTGTGGAGTTTTCTTTGCTTTTAAATTTTTATTACTTAAGTCATTACTAGGACATCTTATAAAACAGCGGTTCCCGAACGGGGCAAACGCTCCCTCTTCAGTGGGGGGAGGGCGGATTTGTCCATTTTTATGAATGTGCATGTTGTTGAGTTCGTGAAGTATACAATTTAGCCATGTATACCAATGCCGACCGCATAAAAGAAATAGCTTACTATTCCACGAAAGGAATTGATGCTTCTTTAGTTGTGTAACATTGTGGAAAAAATGCTACCAACACTGGGATAGAGTTAGGATCGGGTGTCGTAAGCAGCGTCCGAGGCTACGATGATCGCAAGTTAGGATCGGGTGTCGTAAGCAGCGTCCGAAGCTACGATGATCGCAAGTTAGGATCGGGTGTCGTAAGCAGCGTCCGAGGCTACGATGATCGCAAGTTAGGATCGGGTGTCGTAAGCAGCGTCCGAGGCTACGACGATCGCAAGTTAGGATCGGGTGTCGTAAGC